AAAAAACAGCAGCCCAGGCTACAGGAGCTGTGAGGCCTCCCCAGCCAGCCCCTCCATGTGTGCGTGTTTCTGCACGTGTGTGTGTGTGTGTGTGTGTGTGTGTGTGTGTGTGTGTGTGTAGACATGCATGTCCCGGGGTTATTCCCAGCAGCCCCCACCTCGCTCCACTCCCCAGCTCATTAAGGCTCTCCCATTATTCTGACATTTGTGCGCGTCACGTACCGGCAAGAAGTAATTTACTTAGAAGAAATTAAAAGTTCATTTTAATTGAGCGCACACTGCAGTATGCAAATGAGCACATTATGCACCCGATGCAGAGACAAAGCTATAATCAGTGGTTAACCCTATGCACGCCGGCTCCTCAGCTCCGGTGCTGCCTTAGCTTTGGGGGTGGGTGGTCCTGGCCTTATGGAGGTCTCCCTGGCCCCAGGTGGGAGGGAGCTGTCCAGGTTGAGAGGGTCACATCCTCCCAAGCCCTCTATGAACTTTTTTTCCAGATGTTGACAGCTGCATGAGCCCCAGCGCCCTAGGAAGAGATCCAGGCTCTGAGCCCCCCTCAGGCTCCAGCTAAGGCCCCAGACAGCAGGGACTCACCCTGTCCCCGGGGGCGCTCCATGGGGCTGGCTTCACCAAGCTCCCAGCAGCCCCAGCCAGCCCAAGTGCAGCAGCAGAGAATGCCTGAGCCTGATGCTCCTGTCCCATCACAGAGGGAGGGCCTCAGGGGGTGGGTGCTGAGGGCATGCTTTCCAGACCTGTGACCTGGAGGCCAGCATCCAGTGTGTACTCTGACCCCCTGAGAGAAAGATGGTGGTAGCCTCCCCTGGGCGGTAAGTGCATCACTGCAGCCCTGGGCCTGGTGGAATGAAGCAAGCACAGGGTGACCTGCAGGGCCAGTCCCACCACACCCTTCATATGCTCACTCTGGGCACATCTGCCCACCTACCACCATCTACAGTTGCAGCCCTGGAAGTTCAGAAAGGACAAGTGGCTTGCCTGAGTGATGGAGAAATCTCACGAAACAAAGCTGGCATCTGTCCTGTGACCTGCACCCGTGCTCCACAGCCCTGTGTCCTGGAGGGGGCACCAGCCTGCTCTAGTACCCAGGGAGATACTTCAGATCCTTCCCCAGGGCCCTGATGGACCTCCAACAGGTGCACCGCCTCCACCCCAAAGATCAGGAAGTCCGAAAGCCTCACGGAGAGGCGCGTTTTAGCCATGTGACTGCGGTGGGGTGCACAACCTCTGACCTTTCCCTTCCTCGCCTGTCAATGGGGCAGCCTTAGACCACTAGGGCAGTGTCCAGTGTCCTTTGTGATGTGTAGGTGTGGCCTGGGCAGGTCATTGCCTGTGTTCCCTCTCCTCCCCTTCCATCCCTTCCCTCTGTCTTCTCTCTGTGTCTTTTCTTTGGCCCTACCGTGCTGATGGCAGGCTGACACCTGTTTAGCTTACCCATTCCACCCAGAACAGTGGGGAGCGGGGCAGGCTCCCACCTTGTCTCCCACGGGGGCTTGGCCCTGGGCTGGAAGCCAGGCTCCCCCTGGAGCCTCAGTCGGTCCCTGGGAGGTTGTTTTTACATTGGATTTTCTCTACCTGTCAGACCTGGGATTTTTAATGACAGTGAAAATGAAGCTGGTTCGCAGATGTGAGCTGACAGCCAGCTGCAGGAGGCAGACAGATTACCTCCAGACCCAGCCCACATCGCCCGTGGAGCCAAACAAAGGAGCCATCCTGGCTCACTTGGATGAGCGAGGCCGGCAGGGGGCCGAGCAAGCTGCTCTCACCCACCCAACCAGTCACAGTTCCTTGGGGGCCTGTGTCCACATGCTCAGGGGTCTTGCTCCACTGGCTCCCCTCCTCCAGCGACAGCCCCTCACCTCTGGCCACGGTGCAGGTTTTGCGTCCATTGCTGTTTCATCTCACATGTTCCCTGAAGAAAGAGGTACTGGAGCTGGAGGCTGTCGCCCCACATGAGATTTGAGGGAACGGGGCTCTCAGACCCAACAATCAGGCAGTGGGACCCTGATGGTGGGTCTGGACTCACCGGGCCTGGTTGGGCCCAGGAATCTGCATCCTGAGCAGGTGTTTTGGGAACTCCATGTGGGTGGCCGGGACCACCCTGAGAAGCCCTATGGGCGCCCTCCCTCCGCACCGCCTGCTGACCCTGGGCCTCCTCACTTTCCTTTGCCAGAGGCAGGAGATGCTGGCAGTGATGTGGGCCCTTTCGGGCTCCCTGCAGTGATGTTTTCCCAGCCTGGGGTGGGAGGGCAGCTAGTCTGCCTCTGTGTCCGCCAGGCTCCTGGGCTGTGCCCCTGACAGTTCTCCAGAGCACCAGCCCTCCACCAGAGTCCCTGAGAGACCAGGGAGGTGGGGCGAGCCACTCTGCACTGGCTGTGTGCTTTGGACCGGTCAGCCCGCTGTGCCTCAGTTTTTCCTACACCACAGCCGCACACCTTGGCACCTTGACTGAGTGTGTAGGGGCTCCATAGTGGCTGCACCCCTCCATCTTCATGGGCCCCCACCCCACCCCAGCCAAGGGATCTATGCTAAGGGGCCAGCCGGGGGCCTGACCAGGTTGGAGGCATTGAGGGCGTGTCCAGCTCTGACTCACTCCTACTGGCTCTGGGTGCCTTGGAGCCTGCTGCTGTGTGGCCACGGGTCCGGGGCCACCTCTCACGTGCCAGCCCTCCTCCGCTTATTACAGGCAACAGCCTGGTTCTGCCGCTGTTCCCTCCGGCCCGCAGCTCCCAAGTGCTGGGCCAGACAGTGGCATGTTGGTGCCGTGTGCTTTTGTGGAGCAGCTCACCCCCGTGTTCCCTTCACCTTCCTCCCTGCCCCCAGCCCATCCCCATGTCCTCAGGCCTCACGTGCTGGGAGATGCATGTCCCGTGTCCCACGTCATGGCCCGCTGATGGTTCTGCAGCTCCTGTCATTGTCAGCTTCGTTGGTTGAGCAAGTGTTTTAAGGCCCACTGGCGTTGACTTCACTGAGCATGTGCTATGTGCCAGGCACATACATAACCCCGTAATAGGCATCCCATCCAGGCCATGGGAAGGTCAGTGGCAGAGCCCAGGCCTTCCAGAATCCAGGTCTCTGACCCCAAGCCCATGTTCTCGGTCACAGTGTGCTGCTGAGCCAGGAGGGGGCAGCATGCTGGGCAGATGTCACATCTGGTGTTGGGGGCTAGCCCGCCGGGTTGCAGACCCCAGAATGCACTATTCCCTAGCTGCTAGCAGGTCTGGCAGCTGGGAGAATGGTTGGCGGGAGCAGGATGCCCATGGGTCTGTGGCACAGACCTTCGATGCTGCCAGACACGCAGGCTCCTCAGTGATCTGCATGTAGGTGTAGACTAGCCTTAAGATGGGGCATTTGGAGCTCATCTAATTCTGGTAGCAAAGAGCAACTCCTGGAATCCCAGGGAGGGAGGTGGCTGTGAGAGAGGCACTGTGATTGATTAGTGATATCTGTTCTGGCTCAGGTTGGGCCAGGCCTCTGGTGATGCAGGGAAAATGAGTCTTCAAGAGGGCAGGTGGCTGACCTGCCTGCGGACTCTGGTTCCAACTATTCGGTCATCCCTCTTCCAGAGCCTCCTGTATCTTGTTATTTATGCCCACGGCCCCCATGGGTTCTCAGGTTGCCCACAGCAGCTGCCCTCAAGTCCCCCACTCAGCCACTTCCTGTCATGGGGCAGATTGTTTAGATTCTGAAGAAGATAAAATCCTGTGTGACCAGCTGTGGTGTAGGGTGTCTGAGCACTTTAGAAAATGCTTTTTCTTGTCTCACGTGTGGCGTGTACTTCTAGTTGTGGTCAGGCGCCAGGACAATGGGCAGCTCTTATCCAGATCACCACATGTGGAGCAGGCACGGGGGGCTCTCTGCAGCTCACCTCATCTGGTCCTCACCAGACCCCTGGGGGATGAAACACAGTGCCTGTTGTCATGTCTGCCGTGGTGAAGATCAGGCCTATGGCTTGAAACATCGCCCCCATTACACACTGTCTCTGGGGAAACAGCACCTGCATCACTGTGAGGCATCGTATCTTCTCTAAGTGGTCTCTGCTGTCCTAGTGAGAGGGAATCTCAACCATAGCACATGGTGCCATTGCCTGAAGACACAATCCATGCCAACTGTGCCAAACATTTCATAGCATGTTATTCCATCCTGCGGCAACCCTCAAAAATATTACTACTCACCTGGCAAGCTAGACAGAAGCTCAGAGTGGTTTAGTTGTTTGCCAGGGGACACACCTCGCTCAATCTGTCATCAGGGGCCTTTCACCAACCTTTCCAGCTTCTGAGACCTCACAAGCCCTGAATCTGATCAGAACAAAGAATCCAGCTCCCCAATGGTTCTGGGTGCCCACTGCCTCCCAGGCATTTGCTCTCACCAGCTCCATCACTTAAAGAGACATCCTTCCCTGACAGTGAGAACACTCCTCCTGCAAAGACTGGGGCAAATGCCTCCTCCTCCAGGAAGCCTGCCTTGACCACTCCAGCAGAAGCTCGTCTTCCTCTCTGAAACTGTAGGATTCTCACACCACCTGGGGGAAGGACCGCCATGTGTACCTCCTATGTCCCTGGCACTGTACTGAGATTGGATTTGGTGTGCTGTGGAGGTTGTGGAATAAATAAATGGATGAAGATAATGGGGACACTAAGGAGACCCAGGTATTTCTAATTCCTAAAAATTTCAGGTGAGGGTCAGCCAAGGAAAGCACTTTGGCATCATTAGCAGATCTGTCCCCAGACCACCACCACAGTGCCTGTATCTTCTGGTCCCAGAGGTGCCCCCATGTGGACCCTCCAAAAAAAGAGGAGCTGCCAGCCACCCAGGAGCTGAGACACAGCAGGAGGCCCAGGTGAGCCAGGAGGCTTGGGTAGGCTGGTTGTGCCCTCACCATCGCACCCTCTTCCCAAGGCTGCAAACAGCAAGCAGGAAAGAGTTAAGTCCTCTGTGAGCTACTGGAGAAGGAAGTGGTAAACAATTTTTCTCTCCCTCGGCTAAATTAATATGCAAATTCCTAAACCCCCTCCTACTCCCTTCCCCTGCCTTGAAATTAGCGAGGTAGACTGCTCAGCTAATTACGCATTCAAACGAGCAGGCTGCGTTCTCAGAGCTAAGGGGATGCTGAAATGATTGTGAGAAGATGGAACTGACATTCGAGCACAGCCCTTCTGGTACATCCGGAGCCGCTCCCCGGTGCCTGGCAGATGTGACCCAGCAGTGACCGCCAACCACCCACGCTCGGGACAGGGGTGCAAGGTCCCCTCCATTCTCTGGCCCTGGCAAGGGGAGACCCTGAGCACCAGCCCTCTTCCTCACCAGCCAAACCCTACATTCTTCCTGCAACAGGCTTTGCAGGAGGAGTGTTCTCACTGGCAGGGAAGGATGTCTCTTTTGGTGCCTGTGGTCAGGACCAGCAGCAGCCGCAGCCGGGCAGCGTGGTCAGCTCCGCGACTGGGTCTAGGACAGTGGTCTCATGCTGTGTTGGATGAGCCCTGGAGCTGTATGCAGAGGTTATCGTGTGGGGCAGGCAGGGGTTGGCTGAACATGTGGGACCCTCGCCCCCAGCTCCCTCTCAGGGGCGCGCCTCTCACAAGTTGTGGTTCTAGGTTAAATTTCATTCCGAAAGGTGTTTCCCTGCAAAGTGGGGGTTGAACAGCAGGAGAGAGGAGGGAACAAAGGCCGCTTGGGCACCAGGAGTGTGTAGTGTCAGCAG